GTCCCACCCCTATTCATCTTATGGGTGTCGTAAGAGCCGACTAAGGGAGCAAAGAGAAAGAAAACTTGAAACAAACCCTATACCAACCCGTCTGGCCCGTGTGGTATAGTAGGCCAAAACCTCCTTTCTAAGGAGAGGCCTATGTCCAGCACTGGACTATTAAAGGCTGTTAATGATGATGATGATAGAATTTAAACACAACATTGAATGATAGCTTGATCTGGATCATGAATATAGAGCTGTATTCATAGTTTCATTATTGATATTAATAACGCAAGCAGATTGAGTTCAGTAAAACTAGTTTGTAGATAACTAGTAAATATCTCAGACCATCGTCCCATGTTTACTTAGTCATTCATCAAGTTTAATTTATACATTGCGCTCCTTGCATAGACAGTTTCCTCTTTGATTTAATAGAAGTCTGGGAAGTCTTGTGGGTAAAATTAAAGTTAAATATCACTCAAATCTCAATCTGTTTTAAACAAATTTGACGACATCTTTGTAATCTGTATAAACAGACGTATAATGGATACAATACACTAAGACTTAGAATAATTAACGATGGACATCGAACCTAAAAATCCAATTGAATAACAATCTCCTAACGACAGAAGACTCCTGTCACCCAAGACTGCTAGGTTCGGTCCGTATGATGTCACTTGTTAAGAATGATCCTATTATAACACTCGAAAGACAAATGAAATGAAAAATGGATTGAAGTGTCAATGAAGGGTTACGAGTAGGTATAACTTATCAAAATGTCCTTTACTGTCCTTGTCCTTTGCGTTCTCCTTTATATGTTGAAAGTGTTACATGAAACATTACAAACTTCTTATCTTTCTTAAACACTCGATATAAAAGGCCTTAAATAACATACAATGTAGAAAATTGAAAAATCTTAAGTATTGGCAACACCAAAATGTCAAAAAATGACGTATCACAGCATGGCGGCCATAGTTAAAATTTTAGGCACGCGCTGTACAAGATCCTTGTCGCGTTACCTGTGGCGTGTATTTAAGAAATTAGGTTCACTGATATTTTTCAATCAATCGTGACATAATAATAGAAAAAAAAATTAACAAAAAGTATTGTCGTGTCGACGTCGACTTTGAGTGACGTGTCCATTCTATAATTGGTGCCATTTTGTCTATAATGGCCGATTGTACGTCGAAGCTAAAATATTACATATAATTTGCATTTTTATTTCGTTTCTTCAAAATTTGGTTCCGTATAGGATGATTGTCTAGTCATGAAATCTTATTGTATTTTTATCCTTCATTCAAATATTTTTATAATCGAAGATTGCATTAAACGTAAAAAGTGAAGAGAGGGAAAATACATGATTATATAATTATCTGATTTATTTCATTTTGTCCATATCCGCATAGAGTCCCGCATTAATTTCCCGAGTTGATCAGAACAACTCTAAGTATACTCAGTAAAGAGCAAAAGTAAGACAAATCATAACGCCTCTTGCCTTTACCATATACCTCTTTTTTTTCCTCTGAAAAAAAAATCCTTACCATAGATTCACCTCTAAGATTTCATTATTAGTTTTGATTGCGAAGGTTTAATCAAATGCGGTTTGGCAACGGTCCAAGCTCTTAAGATTTCTTCCAACATAAATAAACAATACATTGTTGGCCATTGCATGTTTTTAATTAACAATGACAATAAAATCTGACGGATCGCGTGCTGGCACCACGTTCCAAAATGGAGGGAATTAGACACGCCGGAGTCTGTAGATACCGCTACACGCCCGGTTTTTTTTACCTATACTTTATTATTCCTAGTAAAATCCGAGATAATAATTATTATTCCCGTGATGGAGTAAAACTTGTACGTAAAAAACATTTAACGTCTTGACGTTTTATAGGGTCAATTTTTTTTTATACCGCTGTAAAAGGAAATCAACACACGGACTAAATATTTTTTAATTTAAATACTATAGATATGTAATCTAATTGATGACTATTTTATTTGTAAAATTAGCACAATAACGTGAACACTAATGTACAATCAGTTATCATTGTCATCAACAGCATTCAATAGTCCACTGCTGGACATAAGCCTCTCCTAAGAAAGGAGGTTTCGGCCTACTAAACCACGCTGGCCAGACGTGTTGGTATAGGGTTTGAAGTTTTCCTTCTCTCTGCAGTGCTGTTCTCCCTTAGTCGGCTTTTACAACACCCACGGGATTAATAGGGGTGGTGACACTCACTCACACGGACAGTCGTATCATTTTCAAATTATGTCATACAAATAGTAATTGTAACTATAAAAGATATATAGTAAAAATTAACACATATGAAGTGCAAGGGAAACATTATTTGAACCGACTTCGAAACAGTCACAAACGCCCCCCTTCGAGGTCGGTTGAAAACGAAAAGACAATTGAAAAATATACACATTAACACTAACATTAAAATTAAATATACATTTTTCTGTGATTCGTTAGTTGTCGAATACCTTGTCTATGGAAATACTTTTTTTTTCTCTCATGTCCCTGGGCAGCAGCTTCTGACCTATCATCATTTTAACTGTAAACGACAAAGAAGTGTTGTTAGACTTTTAATACTACAGAAAAAAACTAATTCACACAATCGAATATTAAACACTGCCAGTAATTAAATAAATGATCCTAACATTTCATACGTCGCCAGTCCTATCATTAATAGAACTAGTAGACCCAAAATACTTATAAAAAACCAATACAGTTTACCACCAAAATGGCAAGGAATAAACCATTTTAATTAATAATTATGAAGATGAAATAAAAAGTAATAAGTAGGAAATAAAGCTACAGATGTAGCCATGTATAAGTGTGGCACACTTTGTAGTGTAGTTAGGGTGAATGTTGTTATCCGCGAACAGCGTACAGTACACTCACAGTACACGAGTGAACTATTCTCTGTTCTTAGGAGCGATCTTGGGATCGGTGCAATTCGATCGAAACGTCGGATAACCAATAGGTACCTTATAACCACTTTCACTAATAATGCCTTATTTACCAGCAAGTAGTATAAAAACAATAGATAAACTTGGACTGATCGCATTTGTGTACCTTTGAATAGGGTTCGACTTTTTATGTACAATACTTCATTATTGTATTTTAAGAGGCATGACTGAGAAAGAACTTGGCCTGGTTATTTAATCTTACGAACTTTATTATTCACTTCTCAGATATCATGTATCCATACATACAAACAAAACAATGTAAATTTACCACAGTTTTCTAGGTTAGAAGTCCGTGGTCCATCCACACGGCTAGAGCCTCCAACCTTAACCGAAATCTGATTTGCTGTAACTTCTTCAATTCTATTCTTTTAGTGAATTCATTTCATTGCAAAAATTGTGATGGTAGTTAACACTTTTAAAGTCTCCCAACTCGCATTCACTGTACTCCTGGAAGCATTACAATACTGAATGAGATTGCTCGTCTATTGTTCGCGTAAAACAAAAGCCACCCTTCACGAAAACATCAAACAAAAAGGTCTTAATTACTATCCCTACACTTTTCCACAGATAATTACTAAGTCTAGGTCAGAACTGGCGCCAATTTTTTACAAAACAAAAACGACATTGTGGGGATAAAACGTTTGCTATTCATAAATCGTTACAGTTGATTGATAACTTTATGTTGAGCACCATTGGAATTATAGCTATCTGTTTCCTTTGACTCGTTGCCTGCTTGATATTAAAAAAATATAAATGTCATTCAATACATTTAAAATACTTTGTTTGTGTTTATACGAGTAGTATTTATGAAATGTGCAAACCTTGTGTATCCGTCGTGGTTCTAAAATTTCGGCCAAATCGGCATTTCATTTATTTTATTTTTATGCAGATATTTTCTGAAAATCTGAAGATTCCAACAAGAGCTTTTTAAATACAGTCCCAAACAATTCAAACAGTCACTTTCAAAATAAAATTTTAAGCATTTAAAACCATGAATTTTCTTAAAATTATAAGACAAGCAAATTATTCTAAAATATTTTCTGTACACAGACTTCAAGAAACTACGAAAACCAGTCAAAGAAACTGTCAAAACTTAAATCTCAATAAAACAATTGTTAAAAAATTATTGAAGCGTATTTTATAATGAATACATGTTACCATTTTATGTGGCACCATTATTTATGGAGTAATTCCATGGGTTCCCATGAACCTGACGACACGGATCAATTGGCAGACGTGCCCTGACTGGGGAAGTTCTAGATATGCATCTTACCTACAAAACAGATTGATGGCTATTATCATTACCTTTTTTTAAAATAGTCGGTTCCTTATTTAGAAAATGTGATATTAATAAGGCATGATCATAAGTAAAGACTATGATTCTGGTGTATTTATGAAGACAAGTTTTTCTATCACAACAATATTCGTGTTAAACATAGACAAAGAAGATGTCTTTAGGGTTTTTTTAGTTGTGAAGATCCCTAATTAATATAACACGTCATTAGCATGAAGTAAAAAAACAGTTTGTTTACCCTCATCATCATCAACAGCCTTTAATAGTCCATTGCTGGACATAGGCCTCTCCTTAGAAAAGAGGGGTTTGGCCTACTATACCACGCTGGCTAGACGAATTGGTATAGGGTTTGTGTCAAGTTTTCCTTCACTTTGCTGTTGTCCTGCGTAGTTTACTGAATAGGGGTAGTGACACACCGTATTCTTAATCTGTCACCACACTGTGTTTAGACGTAATTTCTATATTTCATTAAAAGAACATTAATGAAACAGTTGAAAAAGAACTGGCTATACATATTATGCGTGCGCAGTTCTTAGTACTATGAGTTTTAACTTACTTATCACTACACAGTGACGTATAACATTCAATAGTACCTTCATCATCACTATGAAGTATCACTTCATCACATTTCAAGTAAATTGATTCCTTACACTCTCATAATATTTTTCAATAAAAATTTACATCAATTAGTTGAGGTTAAACATTATTATTATGAGAACCAATCAACGCTAACAAATACAAAAATGGAATGCTTGACCCGACCTTTGGCGGCGCCGGCGCATCTCTTGGAAATGGTGCGAGAGGGCTAAATGGGTCGTGTCGGCCGAGTGAAAGGGATGCACAGTGGAAGTGTAGGGTTGGTGATTCTGGATTTAATTTTAAAAAATACGTTCAATTTTAGATGTTTTTTTATCTAGATTAAACCATCATACATACGAATTTAAAAAGAGTATTACAAATCGAGATTTCTAAAGGGTTCCGTATTAAGGGTCTCTGGAGGTATATTAGGATAGGTGGTACAAGTAATTCTGATTTATACCATAACAGTAAGTTGGCAATCTAGCAATAAGCTTGAAAAAACAAATTGTTTGTTTTGCCCTTTCTTCTCACATGGCTCAACCTCTTGGAAACGGGTGGTTGTAGAGATAAGTTGTTAAGATCTGCACAGGTATATATTTTCTATATTTATTTTGCTTATGCGTATTTCACAAAACTGATTGCTGCTATTGTGTGTGTTGATTTATGACTTTAGAGTCATTACGTCAGGGATGAGTTAAATTTTTTTTTTTTTTATATATAATTGAGTTTTTTACATTTTGACTCTAAGGTAGTAGAAATAGGGACCAAAACTAGTAAAATACGAAAATTAAAAATGTGTTGATAGTAGCGAGTGCCAACCCTATCAGTAATCAACATAAAGATTGCCGAAAAGGATTAGCTTTTTCTTTTATTTCTTTCACTCGTTTGTTTTGAACTTGTTCTTGCTAGCACCATAAGATCTATGGTTGTCTAATATAAGTTTTTTTGGGCAAGTATAATGAACATAATGATCACAGACCACACTCCGTAGATGGTGTTAAGTTTTGATTTGTTATATTGAATGAGGGTTTTAAAATAATAGATTCTAGGCCACAAAGTAGGCGAACGAGGAGGCATCTTGTTTATCCTGGTCGAAAAAATTATCTTATCGCCTGTTTATTGAGAAAGAAGTTTAAAGACCGGTCTCCAATCTCCTCAATTTAGCTTCTTCTTGCCAATTTGATGACGGTATCCTTTACAGCGGCAGTGAATGAAGTGCCTGAATGTTATGACTGTCGGGTTTTCTTGATTAGATATACCTATGATTATCACCTGCATATTAGAATTCTAATTTTATTTATATCGGTTACTTTATAGTATCAAGTTTTCCTTCTCTCTGCAGTGCTGTTGTTCTGCGTAGTTTTTTCGCTTAGTCGGCTCTTACGACACCCACGGGATGAATAAGGGTGGTGACACTGCGTATTCTTAATTCGTCATCACACGGTCAAACCTGACACAAACTCTATACCAACCCGTCTGGTCAGCGTGGTATTGTAGGCCAAAACCTCCTTTCTAAGGAGAGGCCTATGTCCAGCAGTGGACTGTTAAAGGCTGTTGATGATTGATAATGATGACTTTATGGTATAAGGAGGTTGGAGGGAGCAAACGAGCAGAGAAGTCATCTGATGGTATAAGACAACCCCCACCGCTTATAAAATATAATAAATGTGATAATATATGATAGTTAAGATATTCGTATATCTGTACGATTCGACTACGGTTATTCATAAAACATTACGAAATCACATAGTTAATTTAAAACACACGATTTCTAAAAAGAGAATAGTTGTACCGCCTCCCACAGGGTCAGTTAAGGTCAAAAGTTGTGGGTTTTCTTTAAAACAATTTAGTCGACACGCTCAATTGAACCAATAAGTGAGCAGCCATGAGGGGGAGACAGGCCGTTTTAATTTAACTTTACTTTTGTATTTTTCCTATATTGTCATTGTCTTAGTTGATGCTGATCTTGAATTGAATTGAAATGAAGATAATTCATTATTGTATTACCTTTGTTTTATTGATGCAAAACCTCTATCGACATCCATCTAGTGAAGATGAAGATGATCTAAGAAGATGTCCGTGTGATGGCGAATTAAGAATACGTATTATATTACGAATAGTGTCACCACACTTATTCATCCCGTGGGTGTCGTAAGAGCCGACTAAAGGTTTGACTGCACAGATGGCGTAGTGGTTTAAGCGGTCGCCACGCCGCTTACTACTACGCTGAGTGTTGTGGGTCCGATCCCCACATGAGACGACACTTTGTGTGATCCACAAATTGTTGTTCTGAGTCTGGGTGTTCTTTGTGTCCGTTTCATGTATGATTGTAAAGTCCCCCGCGATGTAGGATATATTCCTAATGCGGGAGATGTCTTTAAAAAAAAAAAGAAAGAAAGATATTTATTTAAATTACATTAAACTCGTTCGTGATTTTCCTAATAAGTTCATAATTTAAGTTTAAAAACCGAACATAGAATAACGTTTATAAAATTACAGTAACAAAGTTCTTAAATTAAAAACAAACCGTTACTTTTGATTGCCCAACTACGCAATGCGCAGGAGTCGATCACTTTGTACTGATCAATAAATATCTTTATTACACTTTTTATTATTACGGGTTTATTTCCGTATTGAGTTTTTTACATTTATATTAATAGATATTGTTATTTTAAAGCAACGCAAACTCATCGAACTTTAGTTGTCAATATGAGATGGGCTTACTACTATTCCTTGCAATAAATAGCAGACTTCACTAATTTAGTATGTATTATCGAGAAATCGTAGGTTTGCAGATTTTTGTAATATACTTTTCTTTAAAGCTAAACATAATTGATTTGTAATATGCACATATCTTTGATAATCACTTTGTTTCTTTCTGTTCCAGGCTTACTCAGCGGGAGACTAACCAAGAAGACCATACAATCCCTCAAAATTACCCGAATTCAATCCCCCAACAACAAACCCTCCACCCTGAGTTTCACAGATCCATTTGGGCCTCCCCAGTCCTCGGACGGGGGGGGCCCTTCCACACCCCAGCCGGCCCTCACCACCCAAGAGTCAATAGACCACCAACATCACCATCTGGGGGGTTCACAGACCCCTCATGATATTTCAAACTCGGCAAATTCCACGCCGACGAATATATCGTCAAAATCTGCTTTTATAGAATTACAGCAGCACGGTTATGGTCCATTTAAGGGGGGTTATCAGCATCCCCACCATTTTGGGAGTCCTGGGGGCCAGCAGAATCCTCACGAGGCCTCAGGGTTTCCAAGTCCTAGGTCCTTAGGGTATCCGTTTCCTCCGATGCACCAAAACACGTATGGTTATCACTTAGGTTCTTACGCGCCGCAGTGTGCTAGTCCGCCTAAAGATGGTGAGTATTAATTTATTATTTAAGAAGCTGCGAGTGGTGACGGATTAAGAACACGGAGTGTCACCCGCCCTATCATCCCGTGCGTGAGAGCCGGCTAAGGGAGCAAACGACGCAGGACAACAGCAAAGAGAAGGCAAACTTACCACAAACCCTATTCGAACCTTTCTGGCCAGCGTGTTACAGTAAGCCAAAATCTTCCTTCCTTCCAAGATCTATATCCAGCAGTTAACTATTGAAGGCTTTTGATGAAGGAGCTGCAAAAAGAAACCTTAAATTTAACGCTAGTGGACAGAAAGTTGAGAAGCAACAGCTGATCGTGGTTGGCATGTTTGATGTCGAAACATTATTGTATTTTTGTTGTATGATACAAGAGTAGAGGCAGACCAAAGAAGATATATAGAGTAGAATAGCAGAAGAAAATAAATTGTGCTGAGCCTAAATAAATTAGTAAGAAGATGAAAACACAAGTGTATTGTTTCATCCACTTGCTTAAAATGTAACACAGTCACTGTCACTAACGCAACCAAAGTTAATGGTCCATTGAGAAGTCCTTTAACCAAAAATCTTGACATGATTAATTATAATTAGAAGAGGTATTATTCTTGAAATTTGAATATAACTAAACAGGAAGTACCCTCACAAGCAAAAAAAAAAGTATTTCCCAAATCGCTCCACAAATAACGGCGTTCTGAGCTAACAACAAAAAAATAACAACTGAACTCATCATCATCAGCCTTTAATAGTCCACTACTAGACATAGGCCTCTCCTTAGCAAGGAGGTTTGAACCGTTAATTTTTGTACACAGCCTTGTTCTATAGCGATGCAATTTATTTGTAAATTCATGATTATTTGTCACACTATTTCAAACTTACCTAATTTATATGTGTTCTAGCACTTTATTATATATGATAACTGTCTCTAATACAAAAGTAATATCTAAAAACTTTACCCTAAAAATCCACACGTATAATTTTCATCAATTTCCCTAACACCTCCATTCGAAAAATAAGTCATCTTTTTTACGTATTCGAGTATTCAAATAACAGATAATTTGGTTATAAAATGGCCGATAACCCCAAATTACCGAAGCCACAGTATTGTGATCACGGTATTATACCAAATCGTCATATTAGAGGTGTCAATGTACAACTTTCAAAAGTTTCCGAACTAAAACGCCTTGAACAGAATAAAAAAAAAGAAAAAAATTGTCTCTGTCTTCAATATTTTATGACGACTTCTGTGAAAGTTTAGATTATTTACAGGTGACGATACGATCACGACTTTTCTTTCTGACATAGGTAATTCTGAGTTAGAATTTTTTTACTAAAGTTATTCAGCTAAGAAGTTAACACGTGGTAAATGTAAGCAAGATTTTTACTTATTCATTTTAATATAGGACCTATATTTTTATGACGTTCGATAAAGTACTCTCGTCTATATTCGACGACGGTGACGTAAAACGATGAAAAGGTTTATTTCTTAATTTAAAAACTAAAATGAAAGTAGGCAATGTTAGATTTTAAACTAGAACTAGCGTAAAGTTCAGAGTTTAATTGTAATTGAGTCCTAAAACTTAGTAAATTTACTTAAAAAATTAAAATAAAACATTCAATGGTTTATACAAGAGAAATCGTGGCATGTAAAAAGCCGTATAACAAAGTACGTCAAAACATAGATAATTGTAGAACTAGGGGTTAATATTTAATAGAGTCCTCTGTGCCTGTAATTTATATATTAGGGTTGTTACTAGGAATAAAAATGGTGTAAACTGTCGGCTAAGATACCTTAGTAACAAAATAACGAAAATTAACGTAACCACTAGTCATTAAGATTTTTCAAAACTTATCCTGTAATAGGGCATCACGAGTAAATTTACAATAACACAATATGTAGACACAAACTTGTTAATGTTTAGGATACTTTTATTCCATCTGTTTCATTCTTAAGATAGCCGCTATGTAGGTACTATCTTATCTTTCTTATAAAAATAACAAACACATAAATAAATTTCTTGTAAAAGAAAACCTTGTTACGTACACCCCTAACGCTACAGTGAATTTTTCTGAAACGCTTACATATATAGTGGCTTGACACATTAAATTTTTAAACATCGCGTTTGGATCGCAGAGTTTGAATTCAGAATCAATGATGTCCCGCTTTTTTAAACTGTTTTATTATGACTCACAATTGATTTTCTTTAATTTACCGATTACGATTACTGTGTTTTTAATTTTATGCAATTTGCTAAATATTTAAGATCAAGATATTTTGACATACAACACATAAAGTGTTACAATGTTCTATTAGCATTTAAACAATTGCACTAGGTATAGTGCAATTGTATAATTTGATTTTGCCTAATTTGATTATGGAGACAACACTAAGAAACAAAATTAGATCAAAATACTGAACCACTCGCCCATTAGTAAAATATATCTATCTTGATATCGCAGCTTTATAGCAGCGGATAACTTTATAAACATACGACATTATTTGAACATGCACAAAACTTTATCCATTTTAGATTTATTTTTTCTTTATAGTCAGAGAATGTTAAAACACCAATGAATAAAGTTTCACCAACCAGCTAAATGCAAAAAAAAAAGTCTAGTCAATATTATCTCTACGTATTATTATTAATTATCTGTGTTCGCGTGCGCTTGATAATTGAGATTTGCTAAATAAGTAATTAGGCATGCATTTACGCTTCGATCATTCACGGGTTTAAGCCACACAGTAACGGTATATTCATGATAAATGTACTTTTGTTCAATAGACGTAGACATGTTTTCATTTACTTTTAAACTTGGAACAGACCTAAGAGTTAATTTAAAAAAAGTAGTTAATGGCGTTCGCGCTCATTCTACTGTCAATGCTGTCAAAACTTGTATAATGACGCCATGTCTACCTTGCGGTGAGAAAAAATATCTTTTATAGTCAATAAATTGGGAACCACAATTGTCATATTTTTGGACATATTTTTAATATTGCTTTACAATTCATTCAAAATCATTTTTTTACAAAAAATTGTACTTTCAAAGTGAGTACCTTGAAGCAATATTAGCCATAATTCACTATAAAAAACTTTTCAATGTAAGCTTAAACAGTGGTAACTGATTGCATCCAGCCCATGGTCAATCTTACTTTTCAAGCCTCTGCGATACAACACAGAATTATTTTTTTGTAGTAAAATATTTTCTCATAACAAAAGAAACAAAGTAAAAAAATGTACTTAGTTTTTACTTACAAAATATATTGAAAGACTCATACGCTTATACCCAAGTATCGATTTCGCTTTCGAGGATGCCGTTCGCTAAAAAAAAGAACGACACGCAACCACAGACAATGTAAAAAAACTTGATTACTTTTTTAAGCGTTAGAATATTCGTACAAAGGAAACTGGGAGGTTAAAATTAATGTGTTCCGACATACGTTTTCCTTGCTCGTATACAAACCATATAAGGATGGCACTCCCACCAATATGTAAAGTCCCTGACTCCTGTAGCTAGGCTCCTGGCCTGTATTACAGAACTCAGTGTCTTCTCCCATTATGAGGAACACATAAATCTTATGCGAATAAGATTTGTGCTAACAGATAGACAGGCAGACAGACAGAAAGACAGACAGACAGACACACTTTCGCATTTATAATATTAGTATGAATTTTAATAAATATAGTCTTTAGTATAAGAACCTGCAACGTGCTAGAAGCTTTTCATCAAGTAAGAGAATCAGAATTAAATTTTTGGTAGCAAAATGCTTAACTTTAAGGACAAGAAGTAGTATTTGGTAAAGATCTATGTTGAAGAATATATATACTTTACCTTCTTATCTATATTTTGGTAAATTTGATACTGAACCGTATATTTATCAATTGCAATGTCACACAAATGCGTTTAAATCTACTCAATCTAGATGGCGACATTAGCTGGACTCCTATTAAAAAAAACTTATGACGTACTTAGTGAAAAAAAAAAATAGAAAGCCTTCACCCTCCAAAGGGATAAAGCGAATCCAAAACAACTATACCTACATTAATTATCGATAATTATAATATAAATTAACGGTCGATTCTACACAAGTAAGTACGTGACAACCCTAGTGAAGGCTAATTTTCAATTATTTTTTTAAGTACTAAGAGATTTCTAAATCCCTTTCTGATATCAAGGCTTTGCTAAGTCCAGGAAGACCTATTCAGGATGTTTTAAGCATGGAGGAAGTTTAAATTTTACTGAACTAAAAACGTATAGCTACTTAACGGATAGAAGTTATGCAATTTAACCTCAAAAGAGGCAATAAAGGTAAATTGGAATATACACAATGTGTAATGTGTTTTTTATTTTAACAGAAAAGGATAAAAATATATATAGCTTTATAACCTGAAGAAGATAAAGAAAATAATGATACTATTTATTAGCCAGACATGATATAGCCAGAGAAATTTCTAAATAAAAAAACTACTTTTGAGTTATAATTGCAACGACTATCGAATTCTCCGCTATTCTATCGTTTACCTTCCTTCAATAACCAATAGTCTGCTTCTCTAAGAAGTCTGATGACACAGCCCTTAACTAATAAATACTCAATTCATTAAACAACGAATTATTCAAATCTGACCAATAGTCGCAAAGATTAACGCGGTTAATTGTATTAGAAAACCTCATTACTTTTTTACCTATTACAATGTATTAAGTATTCTATTTGTAAAGCGAGTTGTTAGAGTGTAGCGGCACCAACAAATCAATCAGCTTACAATGTTGCACGTTGTTTTAACAGGTATTCGCCTACACTGCTGCTAGAATAGAATTACTTTGTCAACGACTAACGTTTTCCTTGTAATTTTTTTACAAAAAGTCCTAATATCTTTGTCAGCTGCCTCTCAAATTAAATGTAAATTTTGAGAGACAAACTCTTATGACGGATCTGATGCAATGATTATATTGTCAGTGCAATCTTCAGTCTTTTTAGGGGAAGGATTTCATCTCTAGTTTTTGATTCC